CTTAACGACTGAGCCACCCAGGCACCCCAACAAAGAACTTTAAAGGGAAGGAGGAGTGGTGATAGCATGTACTCATTAAAAATAAAAATAACTTCCTTAGGAGAAAGTAGTGAGTGTAGGGTAGAAAGGAACCAGGGAAAACCTAGAGCATCATTGAGATGAGAGCCAGATCAGGTTCCAAAGGGCACATCTTCCTCGTCACACAACAAGGTAACACAAAGCTCTCCGTGGGTTATCCACTTACTTTATTTATATTGTCGATTCCTTTCTGACAACTTGCAGAGCTTCCCTGCCAGCCACTGTCACATGATCCTGTGAAAATAGAGGGGTTCTAAAAGCTGCTGGAAGTGAGGGCCTTGCTTGCCACCGGGCCATCGGGTCCTGTGATTTTCTTATTTCTGCCGCTTGCTTTGTGCTTGAAGGTTTTTTCCTAGTGCATGAGAAACCAGTTTACTTCTGCAGCTTTCTCTTGTGAAGCCGGGATGTGTGTGTGTGTGTGTGTGTGCGCACACACGTGCACAGCACAGGTCGGGAGGGTGGTGACCCATTACATATCCGTTCTTTGTCAATGTGGAGACTTTTTTTTTTAAGATTTTATTTATTTATTTGAGAGAGAAGCAAGAGAAGGGGGAGGGTCAGAGGGAGAAGGAGACTCCCCGCTGAGCAGGGAGCCCGATGCGGGACTCGATCCCGGGACTCCAGGATCATGACCTGAGCTGAAGGCAGTCGCTTAACCGACTGAGCCACCCAGGCTTCCAATGTGGAGACTTTTAAAGTCAGATCTATTGCAGGGATCCATATGACAAGAAATCTTTCGTCTATTTATCTAATTTAATAAAAAAAAGATTTATTTATTTTAGAGAGAGAGGGAGAGAGCGCGGAGCGGGGAGGGGCAGAGAAAGAGGGAGAGAGAAACTCTAAGCGGACTCTGAGCTGAGCAGGGAGCCTGACGCGGGGCTCAGTCTTCCAACCCTGAGATCACAACCTGAGCCGAAACCAAGAGTCAGATGCTTGACTGACTGCGCCACCCAGGCGTCCCTAATCTTTTCTTAAAGTAATCTCTACACCCAATGTGGGTCTCAAACTCACAACCCTAAGAGCAAGAAGAGCCGCATGCTCTACCGACTGAACCAGTCAGGTGCCCCAAGAAATTTTTCATTTAAATGAGATAATATATGTGAAAGGTCTTAGCAAAGTACCTAAAATACAACAGATGCTCAATAAAAATGCTCACCAGATTCAGATCTGAATGTCTGTACCGCTGACTCTGGTTTTGAATTTTTAGAGCTCTACTTTCCAAGAATGATTTGCTTCTTTCTAAAGCTATTTCTCTGTATTATAGAGTACATTTCTTTGCTATTGTACATACAACGCAAAAAGTCTAGTTTTGTAGAATTAACGTAATTTAACCTGATGTATGAGTTAGAAAAGAGCAGGCCCAGTTCATTGGGAAAAGTTGTCCCATTATTCTATTTTGTTTTTAATGCAGTAAAATATTTCCAAATATAAATAACAGTTCAAAAGGATATCAGAATATAATGAACCATGAAAGTAGATTATTCTTTTTAGAAGTAATATGGAGAAAATATTGTTGTGGCTTCAAACACTTGATTTAGACTGGGTTGGCCATTGGTCACTGTACGAATTAGTTTGGGGTCTGATCTTTTTCACTATCTTACTGATCTGTTTGGGGACAGGGTAATTTAGTTAAAAAAAAAAAAAGGTGGTTTGAAGCTAAACAGTACATTTCAAGCCCAATGTAGGAGTCTGGGAGACCCCAAATAATATTCCAGAAACAGCTATGCTCCCTTCCTCCTGCCCTGTTCCCCATGTCAAGGTGATGCCCAAGAGCACTGGGTACTTAGTCACATGAAATCCCTTGTTATTTGAGGGCACGAGCCTCTCATTGCTGAGCGCTTTCCCTCCATCCACCCACAGCCAGCAGAGTCCTGCCTGCCCTGATGTCCTGCATCGGCTCTTCATTCCCTTGGCTCAAGGCCCATAGATTGCAGTGGAAATGTTAAGGACTCCGGGAGAGGTGACACATTTAAACTGCATCCTGTTTTAAGTTCATCAGGTCCTTTCCTGAGAGCAGATGTGAATGGGGCGAGGGGGAGCCATTATTAAGTGGTTCAAGGGCTCAGAACTCAGGAGCAGGTTTGCCAAGAGCCACCCTCACACCCAAGTTGTTCTTGGCCATGGCCGTGTGCATCTGCTGTTCGTGCCGAAGCCACGTAAGAGAGGCCGCCTCTTGTCTACTACTTCTAGAAATGGTGATTCCCCCTAGGGGTAGATGGCAAAGAGAGCAGGCGAGGATGCGCATGGCACGGATGCTGGAGCGGTGAACGCGGGCCGAGGAGGAGCTAGCTGTGCAGATGTGCTCCTGAGCCTGTCCCGGCCCTCGGCACACAGCTGAAAGCCGGCCCAGCCAGAGCCCACACCTGTCTAACCGCGTGGTGTAGAGCCTTCCCGGCTCCGCTTTAACCCATTCCATTCTTCATTTATTGAAGGCTTCAGTTGGAATGAGCCAGGCCCAAAGATTTACCTTTGGAGAAGAGAGATGAACTTCTGGTAAGATTTCCTAGGTGTCTGTGAATCTGCTTGGGGCTGAGCTGTCTCCGTCCACCTGTGGTTGGTATTTCCAGAAACGACTGAATTCTTTTCTTCCCATTTAGAAGTTTAACTGTTCGTCTGTGGCCTCATGTTGGGATTTGAAAGTCAGACGTTTCTGCTGCTTCTCATTTCTCTAGGTCACTTTTCTGTTGCAAAGCCATCTTTCTCATCAGGTGGTGCAAACCTCCCTAAGCTGTCCCCCCTGCTCAGTGGAGTGTGTGTACCGTGGTGATGCCAGCGCCCCCCCCCCCCAATGTGGATGGCTCTGGAGAGTTTTCAGAGCAGATTTGCACATATTACCGCATCCCGTGATGTCGTCCTGGGCTGTTGTTGCTTCTGCCCTGAGTGTTTACTCACCGTTCTCACCCACTGGAATACTTTTCTTTCTTTTCCTATGGGTTTTGAGGATGCTAATACAGGGTTTGCTTTTTTTCTCCTTTATATATTCTTTTCCCCAGGGGCTGTAAGGGGCAAAGGAGAAAGCCTATATAAATGATGCTGTTTTCTGATGGCAAAGTGAAGATAACCTGAATGCTCTTTATAAGTCATCCCTGAGAATTATGTTCCACTTCCTCGGGCTCACACTGTCCTCAGAAGTACTGGAAACAGTGTATCTTAATGATTACACCTGCCCCCTTTGGTTCAATTGATGGAACATCTAGAATGGGGGGAAACTGCAAGTTAGATCCATATAGTAGTTTTGTGGTTTTGGTTTCTTTTGTTTGCTTCCTTTTGTTTTGTTTTGCTTCGTGTTTTTGCACTGACATTTTTCATCCTCCCCATGGAGAAATAGTAACTTTTCATCAGCATCTTTTGTGTTCTCGGAATTATCTGGTTGCGTAGCACATCGCTTACAGAATAGAAGGCACTGAGGTTAAAGCCTATATATAAGATGGTTCTGAAACTGTTTAAAAGGTTTTCTTTAGAGCCTTTTAAATACTCCTTTAAAAAGGTTCCCTACGACTGACCACGTAATTCCCTGAACTCACTTCCAATTGCCCTCCCCATCCCATTTCCATCTCCAGGGTTCCAAATCTGTCTCCCTGTGGCTTCTGAACAATTCAGCAAACATCAGGTGCCTGTCATGCCCCAGGCACTGTTCTAGGGGCTGGAGATACAGGAGTGAACTGACAGACAAAACAATGCTCCCGGATAGCTGTATCTCTTGGGGTTGGAGAAGATAAGCCAAGTAAGTCTTCTGCATAGAAGCCCTACAGATACTTGGAGACTGAACTCCTGGTCCCACGAGTCTTCACTCCAAGCTCATACTCCTGGTTTACCGGTGTAATACAGACACAAGTCCTTTCGCCATAGGGACCGGTTGTCTTTGGATGCATTCTACTTTTTGATATGGAATTGATTTTTAGTAGATTGATTTTTTTGAAGATTTTTTTGTTTGTTGTTATAAAGGCAGCATGCACTTGGAGACATTTTGGAAAATATGGATAAGTATAAAATAGGAAATCACCCATCATCCCATTACCCACTCTTAGAATGTTGCTGTATTTCCTTCTTGTCTTTTCTAATTTGTATTTATCACTTTGTGTCCTGTTTTTTTTTCTGCTTACTATTGGCATTTTTGCATTCATTATATTCATAAAGATCATTTAAGTGGTTACATAATTTTCCAGACAGATCTTTATCTTTTTTTTTTTTTTTTTTAAGTAGAATTTCTGTGTCCGACGTGGGGCTGGTACTCATGACCCCAAGATCAAGAGTCTCATGCGATAGTGCCTGAGCCAGCTAGGTGCCCCTCCAGACAGACTTTTAAAGGTTAAGTCCTACAAGGCTAGTAAGGGTTCCTTAAGTGAGCTGCACTGCTTCCTTTTCGTGACGTTTCTAGCCTCCTAACCCACTACACTTTGAGTAATACTAGAGGTACGTGGAAGCAAGGTGCGGGGCTCTATTATCTATCCCCTGTGGATTCTTTTTTTTTTTTAAGATTTTATGTATTTATTTGAGACAGAGAGAATGAGAGAGAGCATGAGAGGGAAGAGGGTCAGAGGGAGAAGCAGACTCCCCGCTGAGCAGGGAGCCCGATGCGGGACTCGATCCCGGGACTCCAGGATCATGACCCGAGCCGAAGGCAGTCGCTTAACCAACTGAGCCACCCAGGCGCCCTCCCCTGTGGATTCTTCTAACTTGGATTATTCTCGATATGCTGCTTTTCTTTTTTTTTTTTCTGTTCGTTCTTTTGTGTTTCCTCATAATCATGCTCTGCCCATTTGTGTGGAGTGTGGCATTGACTGTAGCTTTCTCGTTACTACAGGATTTCCAGTGCCATTTTCAAGGCTGTCGGCTGGGTTCAGTCTTGAGGAGTCCGTTGGAACCAGTTCTGCTGGTGAGACTAGGCCAGCACGGAGCTCACTCTTGTCCTTCGATTGCAGGCCTGCAGCTGAACCAGAAGGCGCTCACCACTTTCCCAGATGTGGTGCTCGTGCGCGTGCCCACCCCCTCGGTGCAGTCGGACAGCGACATCACGGTCCTGCGCCACCTGGAGAAGCTGGGCTGCCGCCTCGTCAACCGCCCACAGAGCATTTTAAACTGCGTCAACAAGTTCTGGACTTTCCAAGAGCTGGCTGGGCATGGGGTTCCCATGCCAGACACCTTCTCCTATGGTGAGTGTCCTTGGGCTTGGAACAGACCTTTCCGAACCACCTGCGTCTCTGTCTTTTCTCTCCTGCCAAAGCGCTCTAGTGTCCTGTTGGTTTTCAGTGTGAATTTGTTCATGTCAGGTGATTGAGCATCTCGAGTCTTCAACGCGGTCGCTCCCTGTGGCTGTAATTCACCGATGCCGCGTGCCTGCTCTGCGCGCCATGTGCCCGCTCCCGAGCTGGGCGCTGGGCTGGAGCAGTAAGTGAGCGCATCCGGCCCGGAAGGCCCCCCCGGTTCATCAGAGGCGGGGGACAGCGAGTGGACAGGCAGCGCCAGGGCGGTGCCAGGATGCGTTAGTGCCAGGTGGTACGGGACACTCGGGACGGCTCCACATGCAGCTTCGGAGGTGGCGAGGGAGGTTTCCTGAAAGCAAGAATAGCTAGACTCGGCTGAAGTTATCCGGCGGGAGCAGCCGGGACAGGGGGGTAACCCAAGCGGAGAGCAGAATATAGATCGACCTAGACTCGAGTGAGAACGTGACCTCTGCATGGTATTTTGAGTGGTCTGTAGATGTACAAGAGATGGAGTAGAGATGTAAGAGTAGCTTATATGGTATGTGAAGTAGATTAGGGTGAATCCTGAGATGTGTAGGGCGTTAAGCAAGGAGGTGGCCTGATCGGAGTGCAGAATATCACCTTGGCTGCACCAAGAAGAAGGCATCAGACAAGGGCAGAGTAGAGATAAGGTATGTGGCTTAGGCTTTTTAAGCTACCCAAGTGAGCCATGATGGTCTAAACTGAGGGGCCATAGTAAGAATGAAGATAAATGAACAGATCCAGGAATTACGAAGGAAACCGCAGTAATAGGACATGATGACTGGCTGGATATGAGGAATGTAGAAGGAATCAAGAGGGACTCTGGTTTCTGGTTTGGGCAGCCAGACGTGAAAGCAAACATTCATTGAGACTAGAAACATGGGAGAGGAGAAGCGGGTTGGTGGGTAGGGGGTGAGGGGTTATCAGGCAGAGAGGATTTCAGTTTGGAGCACTTTCTTTTTGAGGCATCTGTAGTGTAAGCAAGGAAGAGTATTCTGTAGGCAGCAGATAAGTGGATCTGGAGCTCCTGAGAGAGGTGTAACCTAGGGAAGTGGATTTGGAAACCTTCATTACGTTAAGTGAGGTCACGAGAATGGATGAGATTGCTCAGGGAGAATATATAGAATGAAGAGAGGGCTGAACTGGACACCTTTTTATGGCAAATTTTATGTATATTTTACCACAATAAAAAATAAAATTCAGTGAGAGGGTTCAAGAGAGAACCCTTCAGAGAGCAGGTCTGGAAGAGGAACGTACACAGGAAAGCAAGCAGGAGCAGCTGGTGAGGTGAGGAGGGAAAGAAGAGGTGACAGATGCAATGGAAAGAACATTCCAGGGTGGATGGTATAATTAAAAGTGTTGTCTGGTTCTGAAAGGACAAGTAACAGGAGCGCTGAGATGCGTGTTGGATTTAGCAACAGGGACTTGATGAATACAGCTTCAGTTTAGTGATGGGGGAAAAGCCAAACTGTCAAAGGGCGAGGGGATGAATGAGAAGTGAGAAAATGCAAACCTGGTTGAGTAGCTCGATGGTATGGATACAAGCTTGTAGTTAAGAGATGATGCAGGGGCAAGGAATAGGGATTTTGTTTGTCGAAGATGGGAGAGAACCCAGCGTGTTTAAAATGGCAATGGAGGGGTGCCTGGGTGGCGCAGTCGGTTAAGCATCTGACTCTTGGTTTCGGCTCAGGTTGTGATCTCAGGGTCGTGAGGTTGAGCCGCATGTCAGGCTCCAAGCTCAGTGCGGAGACTCTTGATACTCTCTCCCTCTCCCTCTGCCTCTCCTGCTCACGCTCTCTCTCTCATAAATAAATCATTTAAAAAAATAAAATAAAATGGAACTGGGAGGTTGAAGACCCATCAGAGAGAGTACACTTAATGGTGCAAGATCCCCGAGGAAGTGAGAGGGAAGGGGTCTAAAGCCCAGGTGCAGGGATGGCCTTGGATAAGAAGGACTCCTCTTTCACTGTTTTATAGGGAAGGAAAAAAGGATAGCTAGAGAGGAGCTAAATATGTCAGTGGATGTCAGGAAGTTGGGAGTCCCCCCCCCTTTTTTTTTTAAGGAGATAAAAGTTTATTGAACACTGCAAGGGATCAGTGGGCAGGACAGCCAAGGAGAGACTGTCTGCCAGGAGGTAGTGGTGGGGAGCTGTAGTTAAGGGGGAGTGTGAGGGGATGGGAACGTGCGAAATTTTCCTTTTTTCATTCCTGTGCCCAGTTGCAAGTAGCCCATTGGTGGGCTTATGGATATTTTAGGTGACCTAACAAGCCTATTTGCATTCAGCCAGGGGGTCACTATGGGCCCTTTTACCTTACTCAGGCTTCCGTTGCTCAAGCCTGTTGCCTAAAAGCAGTCTCTACATTCCCTTCTGACCAATCGATAGTGGCAAATCTTTGGCATTTGGGCAAAGGTCTCGTCTTCAGTGGCTTCTTCACGCCGGAGAATGGGCTATGCTGTCCCTGCCTAACCTTGTTGTCCATCAGGGGTTCTGTGCAGTTACAGACCAGAGCATGGTATTATATCAACAAGCGGTTCTGAGATTTGAATGAAATTCCTTGGTGGCCAGGTCCATGGGATTTAGGGGGAGGGGATCCTCCAAGGGTATGGGTGGGATCCTTGTTGAATCGTCATTTGTATATGGAATTGTTGGATTTACTCAGACATGTAGATACATTTTTTGCCTGTAGATCAAGATGGCAGCTGGATCTGAGGAAACAAAGGGGAAAAAGGGGGCCTGAAGAAGCAAGGTGGCTGAGAGTCAGGCAGCATCAGGAAAGGGTCCCAACTGAGTCCCTAGTGTGTGTGGATTCATTCTGGACGACCTTCTGCTGCCAGTTGCACCTCAGGTTGGAGACCTCAGGGGGATGGAGTGCGAGAGGAGAGGAAAAGGGTCCTTTGTCCTCACAGGCCCGGGCAGTCCGAGACCACATGGGGAGCTGCCCTGGCCAGAGACCTTCAGCTGTCTCAGGAGGACTGGGGTTAGACCGCTGAAGGGCTGAAAAGAGAGGAGAGGGAGGGAAGGATCCCTCCAAAGGGCAGGAGGGGAAGTTCCTCACCCTTTTGGGTGAGGGCAGTCTGGCGGCTTCCCCTGGGGCTTCGGATCCTCACTGAGGAGCAACCTCCCCCGAAAGTCATCAGTTCCCCAAGGAGTACTGGAGCCAATCCACTGAGGGATCTCGGAGAATCCGGGGAGAGTCCTGGGCTACCGAATGTGGGGCGTCCCAGTCAGATGGGGGCGGGTGGCACGGGCTGTGGAAGGATCCACCCCAGGCAGAACAAAGCAGATAGAAGTTTATTGAGTACATTGCTAAGGAGCAGCTGGCTCGACGGCGAAGGGGAGACTGTCTGCAGGACTTCTCTTCTGTTTTTTTTTTTTTTTTTAAGATTATTTATTGGGGCGCCTGGGTGGCTCAGTCATTAAGCGTCTGCCTTCAGCTCAGGTCATGATCCCAGGGTCCTGGGATCGAGTCCCACGTCGGGCTCCCTGCTCAGCGGGGGGGACCTGCTTCTCTCCCTCA